TTCCTTGACTTCTGCTCATATCTTGAGACTGACTGCCCCATGTCCAAGGTCAGACAGGACTTACTCTCTGACCACAGTCTCCAGTGCCTCCCCCTCCCTCACGCAGTGACTCTCACAGTTCCTCTCCATGACCTCATGGACACTCAGGAGGCCAGTGTTGTCCAGTGGTTAGCAACGTGGCTCACACTTTAGTTCTGTGACTGATTTGCTAATTTGGGCTAAAAATACTTAAAACTCCTGTGTAACAGATGGATAGGAACCAACCTCATAGGGCTCTTTAAATAGAGGATTGAGGACTGATAAACATGCTCAAGAAATATTAGCTCCAAACAAGACATCTGTCACCCAGATCTTTCTTTTTTCTTCCAATCAGCCCCTTTCATTTTTATTTCTTGCCTGTTGCCCCTTAGAGTCCCTGGCCCATCTGTTGCCAATATCATATCTCTACTCCCTTGCTCCATTATTCTTCCCTCAGACCTTCCTGGCAAATGTTCAGCTTTGGACCAACCTACCTTTCTTCATGCCAATGTCTAAGTTGCTAGAAAAAAAAAAAAATCAACATCTGGGCAGATGGTTGCTACAGTAACTTCAGTTCCTGTGGCCTCAGCTGGACTGTTAATGCTCCCTGGCAACCCTCATGCTCTTCCCTGGTCAACGGTTTTTCCTGTTCTCCAAAGAAACAATTTCAAGCCTTCATCACTTTCCTCCAAACTCTTTTCCTTCCCTCACCAAACCCTCCATTCCTTGTGGATTATTTGACCTCCTAATTCTCAGAAAAGAACAAAAATCAGACTGGAACATTCCAAACCACCACCATCACCCATCTTGTCCCCCCCCCCCCCCCAAATCCGCCAGATCCACAGATATATCCACATCCCTGCCCAGCCTTCCCTACTCTCCGGTGCAGGAAGGGTCATCCACTTGTGTGTTGGTTTCCCGTCCCTCTGGTCATCTCAGCCACCTTGACTCCTTAGTTACCTCCATCTCTCCTTTGTCTTCGAGCCCGCCCTCTGTAGTGCTTCTTTTATATCTGCATGTAAACGGCCTGTTGTCTTAGGATACGCTTTCCTTTCAGCTGACATCCTCCTGTCTGGTCCTGTTCCGATCCATTCGTCTTGACTCTTCCCCCACCACCGTCTAATTTGCTAAAATTACTCATGATCCCCACTTCCTTACCTTTTACTCGTTTTTCACCCATCACACCCTGATCTCTGCTCCTGCCACCCTCCTGAGATTCCTTGTTGCTAAATCCAGTGGACTCTTTGTTTTGAATGCTTGTTCCTCTCTTACTTGACCTCTTAGAAGGATTTAATGCTGCTGACTGTCCCCTCCTTGAGCTATGTTCTCCTCTTGGCTCCTGTAACGTCGTAACTCCAAACTCCGTTGCCCTTAGCCTCCGTCGCACTGCTCCGAAATCCAGCTATGCTATCAAAGACCTCATTTTTACTCTACATACTCTCTTGGGGGCGTTCTCATCCACACCAGTGGCTTTAGTCACCATCTTACTTACCATCCAGAGGCTTCCAAATTTTGCACCTCCAGATAACAGTCTTGCCTATAAAATTCAGAATTGTCTATACAAGCTGCCTACTCTTCATCTCCACTAAGATGCCTCTCAGATACCTTAAAATCAGCACTCCCAAACTAAACTCAAGCTCTCCTTCCAAACCCGCTGTTCCTCCTTGTCGCAATGAGTAGCAGCACCATCTGCCCTGCTGCCCAAGACAGAGCACCTTAAACATTATTTTTGACACCTCCCTCCCTGGCGGGCTTCACATCCAGACCATCACCGAGTCCTCTAATTCTGGTGAGGTGGAAAGAGCATGGGTTTTAGCTGAAATTCTAATTGTGGTTTGGACAAATTACTTAACCTTTCTTAGCCTCAAGTTCCTCCCCTGTAAAAAGGAAATCATAATACCTAATTCAAATGGTTGTGGTCAGGGTAAAGGAGAGCCTTTACTTGGTAGGCATTCCATAAATATGAGTTTTCCATTCAGTAAATATGAGTGCTCTTCTGTCCCATTCCCTCCCCCCACCCCCATCACTGCTTCTACTCACTCACCTAAGTGTTGAATTGGTATTTACACAGTTTCTTGACCTCAAGAATGAAATTTCCCCTAATTCTTTCATGACTAAGGACTGTGGCTTGTAGCTCCTCATATTTATCATAAAGGATTTGGAAAACGCAAAGAAAGGAAAGGGACACTGTTGCCATCGTTCCTTCCAGTCTTTCTTCTATGCAGTCTTTGTTCTGTTCTGTTTTACATAGTTTTCTTGGGCTATAATCAGGTATGCATCCAGCTTTTTTCCAGCTAACCCAAATATTTTCCCAGATTAATCAAAATCCTTCATAAACAGTTTTGGGGTTTTTTTAAGATTTTATTTATTTATTTGAGAGAGAGAGAGAGCATGAGACAGGGGAGGGTGAGAGGGAGAAGCAGACTCCCTGCTGAGCAGGGAGCCAGATGCGGGATTCGATCTGGGGACTCCAGGATCATGACCTGAGCCGAAGGCAGTCGATTACCCGACTGAGCCACTCAGGCGCCCCAAAATCCTTCATAAACAGTTTAATGGCTGCTGTTCTGCATGTGACTGTGGTGTAGTTTACCTAACCACTCTGCTATTGCTGGTCTTTTAGAGTCTTTCCAATCAACGATACTGAAGTGAACAGTTTCACAAAAAAACTTTTCCATTTATGATAATTTTTCTAAGCCATAAATTCATGAATCACTGAGCCAAAGGATTTGAAAATTTCTAAGCAGAGCAGTCTTTGAAATGAATATAGGCCTGGCCTCAGCCACAAAGAGAGAGGTAAAGAGAAAATGGTATAGTTAAGAGATTCTTAAAACAATTATTTTCTGTTTTGCTGAAGAGGGCTGGGAAGGTCCAAGCAGGGTTCTGTAGGGAAAACATGCCTTTGACTTGAAGTTCCTGGCTTCATGATGGTGAAGAAGGGCTTGTTTCTGTTTTTGTATTTTCATCTGGGTCAGTAAGAGGACAAGCCATTCCTACGAGCTCTTTTCCCTCTCAGGAAGAGAAAAATCATCCAGCCTCTAATGATGCAGATCTGTGTTAACAGCCTTGCAGTTTAAAAAAAAAAAAGTTACAATAATGTATCCTCCTAATGTGCAGTTAATTTTAGTTAAAATTTCCCTGGCCATTTAAAAACCTGGTGAATTTGTAAATCTAATAATTGGCTCTAGGTTTAGAAATGTTAAAGCTGCCATAACCACCTCAGGTCTAGCAGGACACGCACGACTTCCCTGAGTTCTGGCTTCCCGGCGACACAGGAGGAGTTCTGCACCCACCTGAGCTCTCCCCTCCGGAATCCAGAAAGAAACCCAAGACCTCATTACCAGATTCTTGTTCCTGATCATCCCTAATCAGAGAAAGCTACTGAGTGCCTCAAAGTTAACATGTCCAAACTTTTGGCTTTCTGGCTACCCCCAGATTCAGTCTTCCCACTCAGCAATGGAACCTACCCGATTGTTCAGATCAAAAACTTGAACCGTCTTGGATTTCTTCTTTTCCAATCTCACCACTCCCTAACATCAGCATATCCTGTCAACTTTGCTTCTAAAACTTTTTTTTTTCAAGTTTTTATTTAAAATTCTAGTTAGTTAGGGGCGCCCGGGTGGCACTGTCAGTTGGGTGTCCAACTCTTGTTTTCGGCTCAGGTCGTGATCTCAGAGTCGTGAGATCGAGCTCCATGCTCAGTGTGGAGTCCTCTTGGGACTCTCTCTCCCTCTCCCTCTGCCCCTCCCCGCCCCCAGCACTCTCTCTCTCAAAAAAATAAAAAATCTTTTAAAAAAATAAAATTCTAGTTAACAGATAGTGTAATATTAGTTTCAGGAGTAGAATTTGTGATCCATCACTTACGTATAACACCCAGTACTCATCACAAGTGCCCTCTTTAATCCTCATCACCCACTTAGCCCATCCCCCATCCACCTCCCCTCTGGCAATGCTCACTTTGTTCTCTATAGTTAAGGGTCTGTTTTATAGTTTGCCTCTCTCTTTTATTACCCCCCTATGTTCATCTGCTTTGTTTCTTAAATTCCACATCTGAGTGAGATCATATGGTATTTCTAAGGTAGGTCTTAAAAGTGTCCATTTCTCTCCCTCTCGCCACCCTGCACGCCCCTCCCTCCCCCCCCCCCAGCCCCCAGCCCCACTCACCTGTGCTGCTAGGTAGCCTCCTGCATGACTCCTGCTTCTGCTGTCACCCCTATAGCCTGTTCTCTACACAGTAGCCAGCGGGGTCTTGCTAAAACATAACTTTGATCATGTCACCCACCCTTTCCTTAGCAAAGGCTTTCCTTTGCTGTGAAGGTAAAGGTCAAAAATTCTAACGTGGCCAGCCAGGTTCTGCGTGTTCTGCCCCGGCCTCCCTCTCCAGCATCACTGCCCGCCGTGTCCCCTGTAGCTGCCATCCTTCAGTTCCCAGACTCCTGCCTCAGGGCCTCTGTACATGCTGTGCTCTCTGCCAAGGAGAACCTTCCCCTCTCCCCGTCCTCCCCTCCTGCTTCCCTCATTGCCAGTCTGGATCAGGTTATTTACTGCTGTAGAAATGCAGGAGTCTTTTTCCTGCTTCAGAGAACCTATTTTAATTGGAGGTTTGATATTCATTCATTCACTCATCCATGTGGGTACATGATTGATACCTGTCTTTTCGACCAGACGGTAAGATCCATGAAGAAGGCCCCTCTCTGCCTCTCTACGCTGTTCTTTCCCCACCAGCTAGCCCAGTGTCTGGCACAAAGTAAGTGCCTAATCATTGGTTACATGCTGAATGAGTAAGTAGAGTCCCCTAGTGATCCCCACCGATGACAGAGTCCCTGTAAGACGTGGCTCTTCCCCGAGGTGGCAGGCCTGGGCTCTCCGCAACATGTCAGCTGGAGGGAATGGCATTTTGCTTGACTTTTTCCTCATTTCAGCGGCCAGGATGAATAGCACATGCTGCCTAGACTTCATTCTTTCTCTCTTCTCTCTTTCTGCAGCTAAAACTTGCTTTCACTCTGGATCACGAGACTGGACGGCCTCAAGGATGTCACATCTACGAGCACCGCGACAGCAACAAGTAAGCCACTCGGTGGGAAAGAGCGTCCCCTCGCCCGTCCCGCGGCAAGGGGTGCACCTGTGGGCTCTCTCACAGCGGGCTTCGCTGACAAAGGCTTGTCAGGAAGGGAATCACACTTTGGGGGGCTCCACTGGGAAATAGCTGACACAAAACTGTTTCTCCTATAAAATCTCTTTGGCTCCTAAATATAGGACTTGAAGTGCTTGTATGGGAGGTATGAGACGTCTGTTCAGAAGCAAACCTTCCTTTCCAGACTTCGGTTTTCCTCTAGGGGACCCCCCCCCGCCGCCCCCGCTGCCGCCGCCGCCCGTCTCCAATACCACACTTGCTAATTTGGTTCACTGTGTGTGACTCTGGCTCGTACTGTCCTGTCTGACTGCCCTTCTCTGAATGGGTTTTGTTGTGTTAGTCTACCTTGTGAATTTTATAATCGGGGGACTTCTGGGTACTTACAGGGATTCAGGTTGGTGATCTTATTATTAGGAAGGCGGCACCTGGCAGGCTGGTACAGCAGCTTTTGCCTTCACCACAGACTGCCCCCCTGTGTGGTTCTGTCTGTGACACAGCGCGTGCCCGCTGATGACAGTGACAGTGATGATGATGGTAGCTGCCAGTGCGCCCCCGCTGGGCGTCTGCACACCCCTGGGGACGTCACCCTTGTTGTCCTGTGTCATCCACGTAGCACCCTGAAGAGTCTTCTCCATTGTTACCACGCGTGTATTTGCAGAAGCTGAAGTCTAGGGAGTGGACGGAACTTGCTCCAGGTCACTGGCCACAGCCGGGTGAGGAGTGACTCTTGTCACCATGATCACATTCGCTCTGAGAAGAGAGTAGATGAACGACAGTTGTGGTCCCGCGTCGCTATTTCAGAAACCCCAGTCAGTGACAGGGACAGTCCCAACCTGGACTTGAGGACTAATTGTTTAAATATGCGAGCTATTTAATGGTACCCACCGGAAGGAATCCAATAAGCACATGCCAGTGGGACTGTCTTGGACATTCCAGAAGAGAAACTTGGGTCTTCCTGTAGAACTCCCTCTTGGGGGGGGGGGGGGGGGAGATGGGTTACCAGGTGCCTTCCTGACCAAAATCTCCATTCATATCACTTTCAAGGCCTTAGGCTTTTTTGTCATTTATCTTTAGAGGATGCCGTAGTAAGCTGTCATGTACCCTCAGTTCTACCGAAGTAATCATTTAGGAAAGATTGACCAAGCGCCCTTAACACCACCGTTTGTCCTCTTGGACGGCACTGTTTCTGGAAGTTGCAGGGTTTCTAGGCTGTTGGGTCAGAGACACCATCGCGGCGTCTCATGATGCCGAATTCAGCAGAGAAGTAGGGCTGCACTTTTCGGGTCCGGGGACTGGTGGGGACCACTGAGTGAGTCCCTTGGGGGCAGGTGCACGCATTGCTAGGGAGTCAGAGAGACGTCAGCCGTAAGCCGCCTGTCCGTGCCACCCTGCGCTCCCTGGGTCGGTGCCTGCTGGCTGGCAGTGGATGGCAGCCCCACACACGTAGACTGTGGCCGCAGAAGCAGAGCCTGCAGCCCAGGGGTGTTGACAGACTCCAGTTCTGGCCCGACTCCCTGCTCTTTGGGAAAGAGGTTGGCAGCCTTCTCCTTCGGTGGGAGGGCGACACTGGCCTGCCTTCCTTTGGGTTCATGTCTTAGCAGTTCAGAGGTGCAGTGACAACAACTTAGGTAATCTTTGGAGCAGAGAGGAGAAAATAGCCTAGCTCTGTTTCTTGGCCTGATCCCCAACTCCTAGCATGTTATCAGAATAAGCAATGTAAGAGGAGAAGTTAGGGGTTGTGAATATGGATAAGCTTTGGCCCCCAGAGACATGCAGATAAAAGCATTTGTATAGGAAACTGAATAGGAGCCATGATCTGGGAAACTGTGGCAATCAAACGTGTCAGTGACCCCTCTCTGCTTGTCCTGCGAGAGGCAGTGTTGGGGTTCATTATCAATTTGTGGACAAATTCCTTAACCTCTGAGCCTCAGGTTTCTTCATCTGTTAAGAACTGTGGGACTAATGAGACCTTCTGCCATAACTGGGGGAGTGATGGTCCTGGGGATTGGAATGACATGTTAAAAGACATGATCACAGCCTAGCACATAAAGTGCCCACAGTAAGTACGCATTGCCTCTCCTTCCCAAACAGAAAAACTACCTCATGACTTCCATCCTGTTTTCCCAGTGCCGGCAAGGCTGCATCCATGAGCTGTGGCTGCACCTAATGGAGCATGAGTAGGGAAGAGGCTGGTGCACATGCCTTCGGCAGCCCTCGGCTGTGCGAGATGCCCTCTGTCTAAAGGCAGCCTCCTCTGCCCATGTGTGAATTGCGAAGTGAAGCGTGGAGAATCCCATGACCTTGACTGTGACTTTCTGCTCTCCCCTGGGCTCTGCCCTGTGTGTGTTCCTCTGTCCACTTTCAGGGTCATTTCCCCAGTATTGGTGTAAGAGTGGTGTTCGGGAAATGCGGCTGTTTTGCCCCAGGCCCTAAGGAGTCTATGTTGCCTCAGCCAAGTAACATGAATGCGAGAGCACCAGAGCGAGAAGGTTCCCCATATGAAAGAAATTAGCTTGATATCTGAAGATTAGTTTGATACAATTGATTATTGAAACTACTACTTTTACCTGGGCATTTCCCACAGTATAATTCATAGTCATTTTAATATTTAGCTCTGCCAAATTCAGTCTGTCAGTGAAGAAAGTGTGAATAAGTACTGAGACTGTTGGGACAGTTCTCCCCAGTGGTCTTTCCCTTCAAATGGAGTGGCCCTGAAAATAGGCACTCTGCTTTTATTTTCCCTGGACTCTCTTCTCAGCTTCCTTCCCTGGAAACATCCTGATAACCTCAATTTTTGGCTCCGTGTCATCCTGTTCTCCATCTGCATAAAGGGGCTCATACTTGCCCCTGGGCTCCAGGGAGGACAGGCCCTGGGACTTGCCCATATCTGATATCTGGCCAGACTTGGACCCTGCCTCTTCTAGCCTGCAGGGTACAGTTCTCAGGTAAACATTCTTAAAGCTCCAAGGTCATTAGAAGAAAGAAGCTGCCCTCTTCTTATGTCTTGTGTCTTGTGTCTCAAGCTAGATTAGTAAAGCTCTCCACTCAAGTTATGCCTTCAGCCTCCCAAAAGCTGGTCACGTCTGCACCTAAGAGATGGGAGGCCTCTCCCGCAGCGCTGACAGGTGCTACCAGTCTCCACCATGGACCTTCTTTTTTTCTGTTGCAACTGCCTTTAATATGCAATCCAGTGAATCCGGGGCTGACTGAGAGTCATTTCTCAAACTGAGGTTTGGAGATCTCTTCACAGGGCAAGGAATAGGCCACAAAGAGCAAATAAGTGATTCATGAGAAGTCAGTTACGCATTCAGTAGGCCCCCGCCCCATACCACGTGTTGTGCTAGGCACTGGGGCACAACAGATGACTTACACCTGCTCCAGGACCTCGAGGAGTTTGTGTAAAGAGCAGACCTCACCGCAGCCCCCCTGGGGGACTCACGCTTCTCAGTGGGGAGAGTCGAGGGCTGTGGGAACGAGGATGAGGAAAGTAGCTGCTTCTGACTTCAGAGCAACTGTGTGGACCGTTGTACCCCTCACGGATGGAGAACTTTGTCCAGATTGTTTCCTTGTCTCCATCCCCACAACCTTCTTCCCACTACCCGGGACAGGGAGTTACTTGGAATGCTTCTCCCTGCCTCTGGCTCTTTGACCTCCAGCCTGTCCCCTCTGCCGCCTGAGGGAGCTTTGCATGGCTTTTCACTCTGGTTGCTTTTGAGACCTGATTTTTGACTTTGGCATTCTGCAATTTTACTGCAGTCAGTCTAAGAGTAGGTTCATCTTTATTATGTTGCTGGGGACTCAGTGTCGTTCTTCCATTTGGAAATTCTTCTCTGCTGTCTCGGATTCTCTCCAATCTTTCCTAGAACTCCTGTTAGAAACCTGCCATGTTATTCTGTCTTTCTTTACTTTTTCTCCATGTCCTTTTCTGCCAGTGAGGTATTCCAGCACTTCCTCAAAAACATCTGTGAGTTTACTAATCTTCTTGTAGCTGTTCATAATCGGCTGTTTAATACTCCTTCCGACTGTGAGGGTTTGGGCTTTATTTTTGAGTTTTAAAAGTTCTGTTTGGAGCTTTTTAAAATCAGCCTGTTAATTTTTAGTTTTTGGTTTTTAGTGTCCTTGTTTTTATTATGATTTCTATTCCTTTTATGGCTTCGTTTAGTTTGATTACACGTGTAGCATCTTTCGAAGTGTTCAATTATTTCTAGTTTTAAGGGTACCAGCTCTCCCATGTGTTGGGTCCGTTGCCTTGCCGTCATGGTGGTTCACTTCCTCATGTGGTTCGTTCTTTTTTTGTCAGGAGGCCATCTTAAGTCAGGATTGGTTTCACCGTGGGAGCTGTGGGTTGAGGATGTGTGTGCTCGTCGCTTTGACATTTGCTCTGCCAGGACCCCAGGAGTTCCAGAGGCCTGGCTAGTTTGGTGTGAACCTCTTGGCTCAGGATTCCCAGAAGCCAGGTAGCGCGTATTCAGCCCCTATACCCCCCCCATGCCGTGTGGGCTTGGGATCCCCTTTCTGCAGAAGAGAAACTTGTGCCCCCACACCACATACAGACTCTCCTCTGGGCTGTGAGAAAGGTCTTTCAGTCCCTGTTTAAAGACCAACAGCCCTTCCTGGATTCCTGACTCTCGGATCCATTTCCCTGGCCAGGTCTTCCTCCTGTGGGCATTAAAATCCCAGCACCTGTAACTGTGTCAGAGTTTGATAATCCCAGCTCCACTTGCCATGATAAAGATTCTGGCTTTGACTTAGTTTCCTCTTTATTTCAGGTAACTGAGAATTTTCCTATTATTCTGTCATGCTCAGTTTCATATTGAAATGGTTCTTCTCATATATTTTATCCATCATTTCTCAGTGTTTCTGTTTGGGAAAGAGGTCCACATCAGTTCAGTCTACCATCTTGTCAGAACCAGAAGTCTGGATGAACTTTT